TATTATTAGAAGTGTGATATTATAAAATTTAAAAGTCATTTAATTCAAAACTTCAAATATACTACTACGAGTATATATGTAGGTATAGTTAAATACCCTAATATTAGTGCATTTTAATAACTGCCTCAACTTTATTAAATGTATAAATGTATCTATTGTTAAATTTTACAAGTAAAGTTTGTTTGTCGATCATAAATCCCAATTCCTTATCCCTGATTCGGCTCACGAAGTTTTCAGTCCAGGCCAGTAATATTGCTCGATCTATCGAATATTTGCATGTACGATTTGCTTTTCATAGAAAAATCCTGTAGCGTATTGAAATTTTATACAACTTGCATTATACTGTGTTTTTTGAATAGTAGGTATAAAATAAAATATATATGAAACCGATAAAGTTTTTAGAGCAAAGTTAACACATGAATAGGTATAGGTAGGTGAAGCTTTCTCTTTTGGTTCACTTTTCTATATATTTTTTTCATTGAATAGTGTGTGGAGTGCTAGGGCGCAATCGCCTCGGGTATCGTTTTAATTTTCCGCTGGCATGGAAATTTACACGATCTGAATGAACCATCAATTTTAATGAGCTTTAAAAGTTAACTGATCAACGCTCTCGGTGGTGTGCTGGGCGAGGAAAATGTTGCTTCCGTTAGAAAATTATATGAGGGCAGATTTACTTTTCAAAGAATCTTTGGATTGTTTAAACAAAAGTATGTCTGACACATATTGTTTATTTGTAGGTAAGCTGTTACCAGCGTAAATTAAAGCTTTAGTTGGTGAATGATGAATAATTATTTCGTCTTAAGACTTAGATGGACATGTTTTATCCGAAACGTGAAGCCATTTTTCAAAATGAAATATAACTATATACTTTCATGGCGCTTCTGTTTATAATTATTTTATAACCTATTTTGTTTATCGTGACCTATTTTTCTCACTTAAACTCTACAAACTTAGATTTGTATATCTTTTTAGTCATATAATATATTATAGCATTTGTCGCCTTATTAGTAAGCACACTGCTTGTATTTTGTCCAAACTACCCATACTTGTTGTACTTTACAGTAGAGACTTTTTTACCTTTATTTAAAACACAAAGCTTTATTTCTAAGATTTATGTTACCATACATACTTATATGATTCGTCTAAAAAATTCTTTTACAAATTTGGTTTTTTAAAGTTAAATGTGTATTGAATACCAATAGAATTGACAAGTCAATAATTTTTATTAAGTCAATAATTTTTTATTAAAACTAGTTCAGTAAATTAGTAGTTTGGAGAAATAAGCACTACAACGATAATATTATATAGATGTCACATCACATTTATTTTTATAAAGTAGCGGCTCACCCTCGCTTCGCTCGGGTTCGCCTCTGGAAAAGCACACGCAGATCTACCCCACGGGAACCGTACATTTTTCCGGGATAAAAAGTAGCCTATTTGTTATTGTATATAAAATAAATAAATAAATGTTGGGACATTAACACATAGCGCCATCTAGTACCATGGTAAGCTACGAGGCTTGTGTTATGGATACCTACCAGATAGTTGATACACTACATATATATATAACTTTAAATACATACATATTATAACTATTAACACCCATGACTGGAGTACAAACATTCGTGCTCATCACACAAATGATTGCCCCCAGCGGGACTCGAACCCGCGACCGCTGGCACAGCAAGTAGGGTCACTACCAACTGAGCCAAACGTGTCGTATATATATATGTTATTGTGTATGTATGTATATGTACTATATTATTGTAAAGTTTCATTAAAATCCAATTAATAGTTTTTATGTACTAAGCTGTATAAGTTACTATAGTTTTTTAACTTTCCCACGGGAACTCTTTAATTTTCCGGGATGAAAAGTATTTAAGATGTTGCCCCAGAATATAAGGTACCACCATGCAAAACTTAATATAAATCGGTCCAATAGATTCGGAGATTACCCCGTACAAACAGACAAACAGATAAACAGACAAACAGACAGAGAAACAAAAAAAATGAAAAAAATCTGGATTTGTTCTATTTCTCTTCTTACATCCCCGTGACGCGGTTTTTAGCATTTTTTTTCTATATACAGACATTCGATCTCTACAGTTTTATTATAGTATAGACAAATGAATTATTATTTGTCATCAAATGAACAGGTATTTTGAAAGCCGGCGCTCGTCGAGTCGGTGACGGATATAATTCAATTAAGAATTAATTGCTTGATTAAGTTGCGTCCGTCATTCGAGGGGTGTTTTGTTCTATTAACAGAAATATGATTTCGAAGGTGTGGTGATTTTAAGGTTAATCTTAGTGATTATTTAGTATACAGTCTTATATTAACCAAGTTAAAACAATGGATGATAAGAAATTATAGTAACCCACCGTATGAGTCTTGTATCTCGTATATAATGAATCCTAAATATATACTAATATACTACATCTGGTAAAATATCCCTAATTAAAACACTTACATTTGACATATAAAACCTTAAATTTACAGGTGATTTTCATTTGCCACCATATTCAACCTTTTACAATTTATAATTTACAGACTTCATGTATCCATATAGTAACGTTGCTTTTGGTTGCGAGAGCATCCATAATTACCTACTTAAAATTTAACGCGGCTCGGTCTAATTAGCAAAGCATAAAACGCATATAAAATTTCTTCTCATGTAGGAAAAAGGTCTGGATAATATACGGCCGCCCTTAAGTCCAAAGTGCCCTTAATACTGTGCTTAAGTGGGCGAGGTACAGACATGTTCACAGGCTTTTCGGGCTCAACACTTCTAAGCCTTTTAATATTGTACCCTCAGTAGGCCTTTCATCGGATCTCTTATAATATTCTTTACTTTTTAATAGCATTCGACGCTGAAACTGTTAAGTTTTCCCCTTTGATTTAATTGATATTCTTAAGCTTTTATATACGCTTATCTTTGCAAAAAGAACAGTGTTTTAATATGAAGTTAATGGAAAAAGTATTCTTCATTGTACATCCACAATAATATAGTAAGACAAGCAATACGATTGAGATTTTATGCACAAGATGTGGTTTTATTGCTAAAACAGCGATCTCTTCTAGACAAGCTTAAGGTTGGAAATGGCAAATATATAATAAATAAGATAGATATTAACTGTGTTAATAATAGAGAAATACATAAAGAACAATTATAAATTAACTAGCATTGCCCGTGTCTCCGCCCGCGTTCAGATGACCAAAAACCAAATTCTTAGGTTTTACATATTAGTATACTCTTACAATGCAGTTTTTGTCTTTTTTCTCAGAAATGAGATACTTTCCCGCGGTAAAAAGTATCCTATATGTTGACCCGGCTAGCCAGCTATCACCATACATAATTTCATCAAAATCCCTCCAGTGGTTTTTCTGTCATGCCGTAACAGACAGACAGACAGATAGACACACAGACAGACAGATAGACAAACAGACAGACAGGCAAAAATTCTAAAAACGATAGATTCGGCCTCTGTATCGATAATAATGTATATTTTAATAAGATTTTCCAAATAATATTTAATGTACAGATTCGGCTTAGTTACAATTTTATTATATGTATAGATAATTTCAAATGCAATATAGTTAGAATATTCGTTAAAATTATCTTTTTTTGTCATATAATGAAGTATCGTCGATAAATGATAAACGTGATTCAACTTGATTCACTCAATTCTCACATCGTTATTGTTAGACATAACAATTTAAACTACCGATGACGATTGCCCAAATTTAATTAAGGCGATGCACCAACCCTTTGGACCCGAATGGGTTGTAAAGTTAGGACGGCACATGGGCTCAGAGTTTTGTAATTTTATTAATGATGTAATAACAGTTCTGTCAGTCGCATGTGTCCATGAGCGATAGTGTAGTCGTTAGTTCGAACGGGTTCATATTCGAGGGGTTGACTGGGGGATTATCTATGGGATCCGGGCTTCTATAGATATTAGTGCTTTCCATGCATTATCCCAACCATTCCAATAGGTTTCAAAAGCCAAAGCGTCACTTTCTATACAAAAAGACATTGTTTTATGAATATTTTTGATTAAAAAGGGGAACTGGAAGTTCGTTTTGAAGGTTTTTAAGTAATGACAGCTATTCAGATTTAAGAGTGGGACGTGACTTTTACAAATGTGTACATTTAACTATCCACGTATATATTATAGCCTTAGATAAGTTTTTATCATTTTACTCAAAAATATTATTGGAATAAACACGACTATCCTTTACATCTAAGTTGTTCATATACTTATGACATAATAATCTCATTAGAAGAATGGACAAATTCGCGATTGTCTAGTTAAGTATACAAAATTGCCACAATTTGCAACTTCAGAACAACTTCGAAACTTCGCGACATAACAATAAACGGTTAGCTCCTCGCAGATTGCCGGCGCATTGTCGACTACAGTCTCTATTACTCACGAACTTAACAACATTAAAATTATGAAAAGATTCTAAAAATGAGTGCATTTTTTTATAAATTAACTAAGGATTAGATGTTAAGCAACATATCACACAAATATAACAAAATACTATGGGAACATTTTTTTTATATTGCGCTGAGTTTTACATGAAAACAAATAATTTTATTAGATGTTAAAATCAATACCTGGATTATGGAGACTTCAGCTCGCGGAATGTTTAAACCTTTTTCACACCCTAAAGTGGTTGTTTTTGAAAAAGCACGAGATACTTATTTATTTATTTATTGACAGGAGTAATCCTGCCAATTTTTGATTCAATACACTTATATTATTTTTTCATACAAATTTTGAGACCCCGTTTTACCCCTTTAGTAGAATTTTAAAAATCAGTTCTTAGCGGACGTCAAATGCCTACGTTATAATAATTATCTGTGCACCATACAACCCAATTTGTTTAGTGGTTTGAGCTACGCGTCGATAGAGAGTCAATAACGGTTTCCTTATAGTAAGAGTTGATTGAAATTATGGTCTACGTTAAAATAAATCAGCAGGTTAAAGTGATGATGATATTCTCCCGACCGATTCCGGCTACGGTGGCCAATGTCATTGAGACTAGCCAACTGTGGAGGAGATATTATAGTACACAAGTGTACGCGCAGACACAACGTGCACTCGCTATTCCTGTCACTCTCATACTCTGGTGGGATGACCACTCGACACAACCAGTGAGAGTTAAGGCGCAGGACGGCTTTACGTGCTCTCCGAGGCACGGGGGTAAAACACCGCCAACTTCCCAACTCCGGGCTGTTACTGAGGCTTACTATACAGAAAGACTCAATAACTAAACTTGTCCCGACCCGGGACTCGAACCCAGGACCTCCGAGTGTGCAGCCGTACATGCTAGCCAGTACACCACCGAGGCAGTCAAAAGGTTAAAGTAGCAAAAATGAGAAATGGGACAATAACCTTGTTATAGTAAGTACATTCTACTAACAAAGTTGTTAATAATAGTCTAATTAAAAAAGTATTTCTCATTTAAGTCCTTACCTTTTTGGTCACGTTAGCTTTTTCTTAAGTAATTACAGCGGTCCTTACATTCCTAAGAAGTTCGTAGGTGTAATGCTGGAGTACAAACGTAAGGTTCGAGAATTAGTTGAATACTTTTTAATATTAAATTTATATACATTATACCGAAATTTATATTATACTAAGGGATTTATTTATTTTATATTATTTTTATAAGTAAAGGTATATGTTTGATTAAAAAATCTTTGAATTAAGAAAGCTTTACTATCCCTAAGAAATATAGGTTATTTTTTACTCCGCTATATCAAAATATTCTTTTGGAATATTCATATATTCAAAAAAGTTAGAGAAGGATGCAAGAAAATGTTTATAGAACCTGTAGAAAGCAATGGTTATTTGCTAGTATGAATGTAACATATGACGTACCTCGTATACTTATTGATCGGATAAAGGAGGAGATACTCAAACGTTTATATGTTATTAGCATTGCCCGCGGCTCCGCCCGCGTTCAGATAACCAAAAACCAAATTCTTAGGTTTTACATATTAGTATACTTTTACATTGCAGTTTTTGTATTTTTCTCAGAAATGAGATATTTTCCCGCTGTAAAAGTATCCTATATGTTGACACGTATAACCAGCTATAATCATACCAAATTTCATCAAAATCTCTCCAGTGTTTTTTCTGTGGTGCGGTAACAGACAGACAGACAGACAAAAATTCTAAAAACTATAGATTCGGCCTCTGCATCGATAATAATGTGTATTTCAATAAGATTTTCCAAAAAACTATTTAATGTACAGATTTGGCTTAGGCACAATTTTATTATATGTATAGATTTTGTATGTATGTTACGCAAGGTTTTCAGCAATTGTGTGTGTAATATATATGTTTAATTGTAATCATTTTCTAAGAAATTTCACCCTTAAAGTTGGAATTTCTTTTAAATTATTTTTTTCAGCTTTAATGTACCTAGTCATCCTTAATTTCAGGGTGGGTGGTGATTTGCAATATCTATACAAATAAATAAAATTGAAGTGTCTGTTTGTAATGTCATACGGTACTTATAAGAAAAACACATTTTTTTTTTAATTTTTGTCTGTCTGTCTGTTTGTTCCGGATAATCTCTGAAACGGCTGGACTGATTTTGATGGGGCTTTCACTGGAAGATAGCTGATGTTATAGGGAGTAAAATAAGCTACTTCAATTTTAGAAAAAAAAATTAGAGTTCCGCTCAAAAAAAATAATATGTACCTAGGGACGAACCCGAGCGAAGCGATGGTGAGTCGCTAGTGTTAAATAAATTGGATAACCAAAAACAAATATTTTTTTAGTATAAAATATACACATATTCAGCCTTTCAGTTATGCAGCATGTCCACAACAACTACAGATAGACACGATCAATTAACATTTGTCATAGAGTTATGTAGCTATTATTTTTGAAAAACAATTGAACGGAAAAATAATTTTTCTAAATGGTTTTCCATAAATATAATTTTAACACAGTCACGGCAACTGCGTGCGTATTCAATATAAATCAGGAGTCACTGTTGTCTGTAAAGCTTAGTTGTTTCGCTAAGTTCCTAAGCAGGGTCACCCTCCCTATGACACCTAGACACGAAAGCCTTCGATCTGTGAAGTGATACCTAGGATTTGAGGATATAGTTTCTTTTACCTATAGCCAACAATATTTTAAGATATGAATATGTAATAGGTATATACATATGTATTTTACGTATCGAAATATATTAAGACTTGCTTTGCATCGGCTGGCACCGACTTCGAAAATATCTGATTAGGTATCGATTTTAAATGAAAACCCCCGTTTGGTTATTTTTACATTTTAGTGCCTGGAAGTCGGTTTTTATTTTTCTGTTAAAAAAATATTTGACTCTTTGCTTAGACGACTATATAGGTGTTGGCTTTGGTTTCATAGTAGTTCATATTTCAGTATACGTTTGAATAACAAAAGAAATAAAATTGTGTACACTACTCATACATGCGATGTCGCCAGCAGATAAGTGAGGCACGATCCATCATTGCATTAGAGGGGACGCAATATTTATTGATTTTTACCAATTTTCGCCCATCGCCCAGCTACCGTGTTTATGGAAAGCTAAAAGGATTTCGGCGCTTTGTACGACACTATATTGAATTAAAAATGGTTGCAGGTGTTTTGTTTTATAAAGCTTGTTATTAATTCTGGTCAAGCTTTCACATTTATGTGATATAATTGAAATTCAATTTCAACAGAATTATCTCGTATATTTTTTTATGTTATTCTGATATCTGATATATCTGATATGATACTTTTTACTGCGGGAAAATGTCTTATTTCTAAAAAAAAACCGCAACGTAATAGTAAGTTTTTTGGTACAGAACGCGGGCGGAGCCGCGGGCAATGCTAGTCCTATATAAATGTTATGGTTATTTGATGATTAAATCAAGAAATAAAACATAGAAACATTTAAAGTAGGGGAATTACGATGTGTTTCAAATAAGAAAAATATCTGTGTGCTAAGGTGCTAATGATTATAAAATCATTAATTATATAAGTCAAATTACGTAACTTTAGATAATAGCAGATAACACGCCTTGGGAATTATGATCGCCTCCAGGCTACTTTAGTATCGTATATTTTACTCACAAAAAAATTATAAAAATAATGTTAGTTCCGCTGAGTTTCTTTCACCAGTTGTTCTTAGAAATGAGGCTTTTTTTCCGAAAGTGGTAGGCTCATGAAGTTCAGTAAGAAATTTTAATAATTTAATACTAAATAAAATATTTTGAATGTGAATTGAATATGAATTCAAAATATTTGGTATTTATTCATAATCAAAAAAAAAACAATGGAACTCGGTTTATTATTTTAAGTAATGTAACCATATTTTGTAAATTTTGTTAAGTCAATGTTTATGATAGTTAGGATGACAAATGAAAATTTCAAATGAATGTTTTTAATAAAAAAAAATATTATTGTAATATATGTAACTGTAAGGGAGTTTCAAAACGTTTAAAAAAATATACGATAATTTTTTTTTTTCAATTTCAAACAAGACAAGTATTTATCAAAAAATAAGATAAAAAAACTGTGCAAAATTGACTGTTCTTTTTTGAAATTAAGTTAATTTTGCTATGTTGTACTAGATTATTGTTTATATATGATATATATATATATATATATATATATATATATATATATATATATATATATATATATATATATATATATATATATATATATACTACTTTAACAAGACAAAGTAACTAGATCTTTTTCTTAAACACATTAATTAAAACAAAGGAAATCCCGTTGACAATACAATATACTTGAAATATATTCAAATTCGAGCAAGTGAAATGTCATTTGAAAACAAAAGTGATTCTGACCTGAGTATACTCGTATATTGAGCTCAGCTGCTTATTGTTAATAGTTTATGCAAATGTGTCAACTGCCTCGTGTTTATTACTCTAACCCTCGCCTTTGTCTTACCATCTCCTCATTTCAGAATAAAAACAGCGGATTTGCATGTGCAAATAACTCTAAGAGAAATCCAAACAGTAATTTGACTGACAATAGAAAACTGCCTTTATTCTATTGTCTGCTTAGAAAAATGTCATTTGTGTTCTTAAGAAACCATTTAACTTCCTAGTAATGTTTTAAATGAAACCACAGATCATATAATATACTAGATAAAACTATTTTTTCGGATTTTTTCGCTAATTTATTTTAACTTTTGATTACCAACGTTTTGCGAAAATAATCGAAAAGATAGTTTTATTTAAAATGTCAAATATTTGCGTAAACAATAGATTTCTTAGAAATTTACCTGGAGGTGTTGAAAGTGTTATTCCTAGAAATGAGTAGTCTGAGTATTTTGTGTGTATGTTCGAGTGGGTCCCTGCAAGGTTTAAATTCACAAATGGATGCGGTAGGTGGCGATGCAGTCGGTGTGTCAATAAATTTTCATACAAGTCTCCATTTTCCGAGCAATAAATAAATTTGAATTGTTGGTTAAATAAAATAAAAATCGATATGTGTATTTATGTTTCCTATGGACTCCAAACTAAAACAGCTGGAGCGATTTTGGTGAAATTTTCAGGTAATCTTCAGATTAGTCCAGCGGGTGATCTTGTGAATTTTGTTAGCATCGGAAACTTGGACGCGGGCAAAGCCGCGGGTACTGCTAGTATAATTATATAAAATACAAATATATCTTAAAATAATCTCATCATCGCATAAATTAAAAGCAAACACAACTTCTAACATAATGTAATAAATAACAATCTTTTGCATTACGATAATTTCCGCAATCTATAATCGACAAATGAAAAGAAATCTGTACAACAATACTCCGAACGCAACGCCGAAAACATAAAAATGTCATGTGCATAATGCACCCTATAAATATTATTCCCAGTGGATACTGCTAATGCTACTTAGTCTCTCTCCAGAGATGTAGGTCACCATGTTATCTATCCCTTTGAGATAACTTATAATATTTATACCCTATAGTGTCAACCATAAAGTTTGGTTTCGACAAACTTTTTTTTAACCATTAATCTACAATCGAAAATCTGCTTTCAAACATTGTATTACAGTTCAAAATTGTGTAATAAAACAATTTCTTAATGCACATTCTGCAAGGGAAATTATTCGTGCTTGCATCCAATGCATGGGGTGTCTTATGGTTGAGACATGCGTCTGTTTTACGATACACAAAAATCCTTTGTCAACAAAACTTAAATATAATATGGATAATTAAACCCACTTTCATTTTGTTGGCCATAAATTTTGATTTAAAATATTATTT